CTGCTGGTCCCAACATGCAGTTCATATTCTAGAAGGAGGTAGTAGCACTCTTCCTGTGCTCGCTCACTCTCTCTAGAGACAGCTCTCTCTTGCCAATGATCTTTCCTTCTGTTCTGTTGGAGTAGGCTTACACTTTTTGTAGGCTCACGGCCTTTTGAATTCCCTTTTACTGTTTTTAAAATAGTATATTGGAAGGTGGCAGCCTGGAAGTGCCATTTGAACTTACAATATGGAAACTATTCATAGACTGTGACCGTCCAGTCACTGGTGACTCTTCGTGTAGAATGGGCGGTGCTTAGGTTCTGAATGGAAAGCAGCCCTTGGGAAGCTCCAACTTAGAATGATGAACATTGGTTTCTCGGGGTACATAGCAGTCTGGTAGTAGATTTTTTTTTTTTTGTACAATCTGTTTTTCATCAACCTAATTAATAAGGACCTTGAATTTAGCTTTGGTCCTGCTTGGAATAGAGACTCATCGATGATCTGATTAAGCCAGCTTCATAGCTTCAAAATCAAATCTCAATTATTGACCCCCTTCTCATAACAGAATAGCTGTGATTTTTAAAAATTATTTCGTTTAATTCATCATCATCATTTTTTAAATTGACCAGAGAGAGAGAGAGAGAGAAGGAAAGTAAAAAAAGCAAACTGCCAGGTCTCGAACTCAAACCGTGGTTGGCCATGTGGGAGTCCAGCGCTTTAACTACCACGCCACCTACCGGTCCTCATAATACCTATTTTTTAAAAAATGAACTTTTACTTCAAAATTTCAAAGTCATGTTATATTAGAATGAATATTTGTCTTCTAGAAATTAGTTTCTTAAAAGAAAATCTTAGTCAGGGCCAGCAGCTGGCGTAATGGCTATGTGGTTGGACTCCCATGTAGTCAATCACTGTTCAAGTCCCGGACCGGTGGCTTAAACTGACGCCAGATGCATGTGTGTGCCGGCCAAGATCCCAAGAGGAGAATGGAGGAGAAGGGATTGTGGTGTGGCCATTCCCTCTTGGGGGCGATTTCTCACTTTCTGTCTCTCTGTCTCTCTCTGTCTTTCTGGTGAGTGAGCGCACGTGCCCTATAGCAAAAACCTCTCAAAAAAAATAGTATTTATCATAGAGTAGAGATTTCATTGGTCTGTGAAGCCCAGGGAAATTGGGATGAACTTGAAGATGTATTCTAGAGGGGGCCTATGCTGGGAGGCGTTGCATGGCTTCTCCTAGTGGTTTTTGCTCTAAATAGAGTGGCTTTTGCCTGAAGCAGCCTTTGGAATGAAACCCGAGTTCTCAACTCAGTTTAAGACCCTCTGCCATGGAGGAACTGGGGCTGGGTTTGGGTGGTCTGTTGAGTCCTCCAAAGTGGCTTTGTCTTCCAGCCCCTGACGTAGGGGAGATGGTAGGAGATGCCCCGTGCCTTGTCAGGCCACCCAGTCCTGGAGCCGACCACAGCCCTGCGAGACCAACAGTGAGAGGCCGGGAAGTGTCTGCGTTTCACGTGCTGGGGTGTTCTGGATATTTTGAATGGGGAGGGAGATTGGGCTGTGATATAAAACATGTTTCTTTTTTTAAAAAATTATTTTATTCAATTTCATTTATTCATTCGTTTATTTTAATTTGACCAGAGAGACATAGAGAGAGGAAAGTGAGAAAGGAAGCCGGCAGGTCCGGGCTTGAACCATGGTCGACCGTGTGGGAGTGTCCAGCGCCTTAACCACCACGCCACTTGCTGGTCCCCAATAAAACGCATTTCTAATTGTGGATCTTGGTTAAGTTTAAAAGACACTTTATAGAAAAGGATGGGATGGAGCCGGTGAAGAAGCTAAACTTGGCCCTTGTGATGCGGGTAGCCACGTGGCCACGTTCGTTGTGGTCTGGTGCCCCCCATGTTGTTTTGTGTGACTCTGTGAAGTGACGGCCACAGGCGGAGGTAGTCCCGTGCCCTAGCCGTGCCCCCAGCTGGCGTGTTAGTCCAGCTCTGCTCTCCATAGGAAGGTACGATGGACCACAAATGCAGCTATTTCCTAGAAGCCCCGTGAGAGCAATGAAAATACTCTTATTTTCCAAGTTCTTTTCATATCAACGTGGTACCAAATAAAATATTACTGAATTGTTTTTAATGATTTTTGCCACAGGATGTGTGTGCTTGCTGGAGAGGGACAGTGAGAGGGGAGTGAGAAATCGCCCCCGTCAGGGTAGCCATGCTGCAGTCCCTCCTCCATTCTCTTCCTGGGATTGGGCATGCATGCACACGTGCCCTGTGTGATTTTTCAGTCTACCAGGCCCAGGATTCAAACTATGGTCAGCCATGTTGGAGTCCAGAGCACTACCCACTTCACCACCTGCTGGCCCCTTCAAGGGGTACTTTTCTTTTTATAGAAGGTCTGGTGTGTATTTTGTACATATGCCCATCTCCAGCAGGGGAGTACATTTCAGGTACTCAGTGTGCCCCAAGGCCGTGGCCACCTGTCCTGCCATGGAGCCCCAGCCCACCGAGACACTGACTGCAGGGCCACGGGGCCCACCCTGCCCCCCAGCAGGAGTGGCCCCCGAGGACACAGAGCCAACCCTCTGTGCTCGGTTAAGCACCAGGGGGTTCTCAAAGCCGCCCAGGGCAGGGACGGCTGTTAATGACACAGCCCGTCTCAAGTAGGCTAAGAGACCGGCTGAAATGGGGGGACTGGGCCAGGGTGTGCCTGAACCAGTGCTGCTTCCAGCGTCGGCCACACGCAGACGATCCTCTCAGGGACCGGCCCCAGCGCCTGTCACAGACACTAGGACACTGAGTCCGTGGAGGACTGACTGGACGATTTCGTGGTGAGAGCTGCGCCTGGGGAGTCAGCGCTGGCCCGTCCATCCGATGGCAGAGTGCATTTTAAAGCAATTCCAACTAGGTGGAAGGGCGTGAAGTGGCAGAGGTGTACGGCCCAGAGCCGAGTGCCATTCTCAGTGTGCGAATGTCCCCCTGGGTCCCCAGACAAGGTCTCCTCCCACCTCCCAGCAGTGCGCAGGGCCGCCCATCCCTGCCCCACTTCACGGTGTCAAGGACACCTGTCCCTGGGGGCGTTCCGCTCCGCACAGTGGAGCTGTTGCATTGACCGCGGGGACCCGAGGCCAAGTGAGGTTGACCGACAGTGGCGGCCCGAAGCCCCGGTGGGCAGGGATGGGCATGGCAAGGCAGCCGGCAGCGCTCACTGTCCTGTGCCCCCAGCCGGCCCGAGTCAGCTCGCAGCCGTGTCTCCTGCCTCCGCTGTCCTCCCGGGCTCCTTTCTCCAAGCTCTTCCTGTCACTCGAGGTCCTTCCCTTCTGTAGTAACCCAGGTGAGGCCTGGAGCCGAAGCCGTCCCGGCACTGGCCATCTTGGACGGGGTGCCAGCATCTTTCCTGGTGTCTGTGTCCCTTTGTGGCCCTGGAGTTACTACTCTGGGACAGGACAGCTTGTTCAGCGTCTCCCTCTGTCGTGTAGTTCCCAGTGACCTGACCGCAGAGGAGCGGCAAGAGCTGGAGAATATCCGCCGCCGGAAGCAGGAGCTGCTAGCCGACATCCAGGTAGGAGGCCTGGGCCGGGGAGGGAGGGCGTCTTCCCAGAGCAGATTCCGGACACTGTGACCTGCACTGACCCCTCTGAGCACAATGTGGGTGCTGATAACCCTGCGCTTCACAGGTGAGAGCTGGACGCTCAGAGCGTTAGTTAGGCGGTGTGGGGTGGTCCACCCCACTGCCAGTGTCAGAGCCGGAGTGCCACAAGGCTCCCTGCCCACTGAGCAAGGTTTACGCTGCTGTGCTCACCGGTGTGAGCAAGGCGTGGGCCAGGAGGGGCTGTGAGCATGCCAGCTGCAGGTTCAGGGAATCCGAGCCCAGGTCCTCACTCTGCCACTTACGTTTTTAAACTTTCCCAGAGGGTGTCTATGTTTGCCAGAGACAGAGAGTGAGAGAAAGTGAGAGAGAGAGAGACACAGAGCACCCCTCACCCGCCATGGGGCTCTGTCCCACTGCGGCCCCCTCTGCTCCACCTCTCCATCATCTTGGGACTGGAGGCACAGGTGTGCTTGTGTGGGTGCTTTCCTCTTCAAGTTGCCAGTTCTGGGGTTCAAACCACCTGGCTGGCTAGGTGGGACTAGCCTCCTCAAGCCCCAGAGCACAGGCCGGCCCTACTCTGCACTTACACGGAGTGATGTGAGGTTAGAGCAGTTTGGTCTTTGAACGTTGTTTCTTCATCTGTAAGATCAGAAATGAAAACATCTGCGTCATTGCGAGGCGCCAGGATTATGCAAGGCAATATTTATAGGGACTTAGTATAATTTCTGGTCACTACATGTACTTAGTATGCGATAGCCTTACTGTTTAAGTTCCTTTTAATAACTGCCAAGCTTTGTGAGAAATAGTTAAAGAAGCTGTTTGCTGGCTCAGTTTTAGCCCTGACACAGATGTTATTCTAGAATTCGTCATAAAACATCAGGGCAGGGTGAAGGAGGGGCCCCCCGCCCTAACGCGGCCCAGTGTGGAAACTTGACTTGCTCGGTGCTGGCTTGAGTGTACGTTGGCCCTCTGGCTCCTGTTTCAGTGGCTGGTGCTGGGAAGCTGAGCAAGTCCCCGCCCAGGTGCCCCTTGCTGTGAGAATCCTTCCATCCAGGACCCTCCTAACGAGGAGGGAGGGGTGGGTGCGGAGTGGACCAGGAATTTCCTGTGCTGGCCACTTGGTGGCAGTGCTGGCCCCGCAGCTGGGCATTTGGGCAGTGTCCTGTCTCCTGTCACTCCTGTGCTTCAGTAATTAAGCTGCAGATCTGTTCGGAGAGACTATCGAGGCAGGCATTTTTCAGTGGAATATATATATTTTAACATAGCATACATGGAAATGTAGGTAGCACATATTTTTTACGTAGTGTATAAAGTTCTTTCCTAGACTAAACTTGGTGTGGTCAGGAGTACCTTTTTCTACCTTGTGTTCCCTGAAATGCTTGTGATCTGGTAGGAGCTCAGTAAATATTCATTGACTAGATTAATTTTCCTAATCTACTTGGATTTTTTAGTCTGTCTTATTTCATTTTGTTCTTGGTTGAAGAGAGTCAGATGAGACTTCTGAAGTTTTGATCTGGTCTGTGTCTCCGTTCCGTTTGCAGAGGCTGAAGGATGAGATAGCAGAGGTCGCTAATGAAATTGAAAACCTGGGGTCCACAGAAGAACGGTGAGTCCACCACTTCCTCCCCGGGCGGTCTGTCCTGGGAGTGGCTCGAAGTGCCCGCCCTCCATGGTGCCTGCTGGCACAGCTCAGGATAGTGAGTCCTGGCCTCTGCCTGGTGGCACGGTGTGCACCTCGCAGTGTGTGCTTACGCTGGCCTGTCCCCCTCCCTGCGCGGGCTTCGGAGGTCCCGCTCACGCTGCTCGGCCTGCTTGTAACGTGCTCTGGGACTGCTGTGTCCTCTCCCTCTGTCGGCCACTGTGTCCGTATTGTAAAGCTTTCATTTCTCCTTTGTGAAGAGCGGAAGCTGGACGAGTGCTGCTATCGAGTGGCATGACCCCAAGAGCGTGGAGTGCCTGGCTATGCCGAGGCAGAATTGCGAGCGCATCGCGCCTCCTAACGCTTAGGGGAGAGGGTGAGAGAGGAGGTGATCTTTCATGTAATGGAGACGACAAGGACTGTTTGTGCTATTTTTCTTGTAATTACATGAAATGTTAGTGACTTTTGAGAGTTCAGTGTGAATGGGGTTCCCAGACCGTTTTCTAACTGCTTAATGCAATAAATGGGCTGTCTCCAGTTCACTCTGTGTCTATATTTTTCTAAGCCTAAGTCTCCCTGTCTGGCTTCATAAAACCGTTGGATTTGTTATTTTAAACTCAGGTGGGCGGTGCCATTAGGGATTAGGGAAGCTGCGTGCTCCCAGAGAGCAGCCAGCTCACCACTCCCAGCCTCGCGTTGTCAGGGTGGTGTTTTGGATTATAGCTATCTTACTTTCCATTTTTAAAAACTGCAGCTTTGAAAACATGGATGACTTGGAGTTCATCAAAATGTAAAACTTCGGGTTTTATAAATGATAACTTTTAGAAGGAAGTTAATAGGTAAGCCATAGACTAAGAGGTGGTATGTGCAGCACCTCTCCCTGAAAATGACTTGCACGCAAAGTGTGATGTCGAGGACACACGTGATTCCATGATGAAGGCAGCCCGCGTCAAAGATGGGCAAACGCCCGACAGGCGTTTGCAAAGGGAAACCCTCGACATCGTCAGCGTGGACCGCCACATCACACCGCAGGAACGGGGCACCCAGTGCAGGCGGGTGCTGGTGAGGGCGAAGTGGTCTCAGCGTGGGGGCACCCAGTGTAGGCGGGTGCTGGTGAGGGTGAAGTGGTCTCAGCGTGGGGGCACCCAGTGTAGGCGGGTGTTGGTGGGGGTGAAGTGGTCTCAGCGTGGGGGACGGGGAACCCAGTGCAGGCGGGTGCTGCTGGGGTGAAGTGCTCTCAGTGGTCTTGCCATGTCACCCATTCCCCACACTGTGACCCAGCAGTTCACCCCCCCGGTATTTGCTCAAGGAGAGTGAAAATCTGCCCACGGTTTATGCCGGAAAGACAAGTACCGGAGTTCTCCAGCGTTCTTCCTAGAGCAGCCCACAGTCGGCAATAGCGTGTCTCCCAGCTGGTGAACTGATGCATCGGCGGAGATTAGACTGTTACCCCGCCTCTCACGGCATGACCCAGTAGCACGTAGCGCCGTGGAGGAGTCCCCCAAACGCTGTGCCGTCGGGGAAGCCTTTGTACCACCGGCTCCCCGTGTGAGGTTCCGGCACAGGCAGAACTAAGCTGAAGCAGCAGAGGCGACAGCGGGCTGCGGGGAGCGTGCCGGTGTGGACCGACGAGAACGGCCGTGCATACACGGGGCAGCACCCTGGAGACATGTGCATTTTGTTGAATGTGAATTGTGCCTCAGTTTTTTTGAGAGGTTTTTGCCAGACCAGCAGGTGGCATAATGGTTGTGTCGTTGGATTCCCACAGAGTAGACCACAGTTCGAGTCCTGGATCTGATGGCTTAAAACTCATGCCAGATGCATGTGCATGCACACCCAAAGGATGGAGGAGAAGGGGTTGCGGCATGACCATCCCCCTGGGAGTGATTTCTCACTCCCTGTCTCTTACTCTCTATAGCCAAAACCAGAAGAGGTTTTTGCCATTGGGTTCATGCGCTCACCAGAGAAACAGAGACAGTGACAGGGAAAGTGAGAAATCACCCCCCAGGGGAGATGGCCACACCTCTATCTCTTCTCCTCCAGTCTCCTCCTGGGATCTTGGGCACACACATGTGCGCGGGTGTGATTTTCAAGCCACTGGGTTCAGGACTTGAACTGCAGTTGGCCATGTTGGGAGTCCTGCAACATAACCACTGCACCAGCTGCTGGCCCTGTGCCTCAGTTCTAAGTGTGGAAAACTGCATTTGAACCAGGTGCTGTGGTGTGTGCCAAGAGTGCCAGCTACTTGGGAGCTGAGGCAGGATGTTCGTGAGCTCACGGCCGGTGTGGGGAACACAGGGAGACTCTAGCTGAGACAGCCTTCGTAGTCACCGCGATTAGGGAGGCTGAGACAGGAGGTTCGTCCGTCCTTAAAAAGATAAAAGTATTTTTAATTAGGCAGGTCATGCACATTTGTTGCGGAAAATTGGTAATATACAGAAAAGCATGAGCGGAAGTTCGCATGATCACTCATCCCAGAGAGGACCATATTCGTATTTCGGTGGGTTTTGGCATCATATTCTGAGTTCGGTGTGCCATGCCACAGCATGGGTGCACCTTGAAAACGCCCTGCCAACCAAGAGGAGCCAGACACGGAAGTTCAGATACTGCACGGTTCTACTCACACAGAGTGTTCAGAGCAGGCAGTCTCTGGGGAAAGAACACAGGGTGCAGTTGCCTTGGAGTGTCGGCAAGAATGGGGTCACCTGTGAAGGGTGAGGAAAATGTCCTGAAATTGCATGTGAGGGTGGCAGTAAAGCTTAGTGTCTGTATCACCCCAAATCACTCAGACACCCACTTAAAATGGGCATGCTATATGGTAAGTAAATTATAGCTTGAATTTAATGTTTTAAAACCATGTTATAAAGAAAACCACTGCTCTGGATGGCAGGAGTAAATGAACTTAGAGCCCGAATGACAGTTTTAATCAACCTCTCACAAATTATACCTTTTGTTTTCCTGGATAGATCTTTCAAAAAAATCCCTGTAAGTCAGAATGCATGTGGGAATTATATTAATCTTTCAAAAACTTCCCAATTGTCTGAAGTGCTTAAATGGCTGTGCTCCTTGTTTTGCAGGAAAAACATGCAGAGGAACAAACAGGTAGCCATGGGCAGGAAAAAATTTAACATGGACCCTAAGAAGGTAAGTGAGACGGGGCGGCTGCACCCCAAGTCTGTGAGGGGGGGCCTTCTTGCAGTGCTCGGGTAGCACAGGGGCGGCTCATTCCCTGGAGCGGGGCTGTTCCTCCTGCCTCGTCGTGGAGCACGTGGCACGTGCTTGGCTGTGAGTGTCGTGGCTTTGGGCCTAGCCCCTGCCTGGGAGCTTGCTGGCGAGTGTTTACTGGACTCTTTCTCTGGGTCCAGTGCACTCATTACTTCCTCTGCCCTTTTCCCTTCTAGCACTTTCTAGGCTGAGCGTCATTGTCACCTCTCTGTCTCTTCCCAGGGGATCCAGTTTTTGATCGAGAATGACCTGTTGAAGAACACATGTGAAGACATTGCCCAGTTCTTGTACAAAGGGGAGGGGCTCAACAAAACGGCCATCGGCGACTACCTGGGGGAGAGGTGAGGCCTTGAGGACGCCTGCGTGCTCGTCCTGGTCAGGAACTGCAGAGACTCTCCAATGCTCCAGGTCCTGGAGAGATTTTTGCCATAAGGCAGCCGTGGCCACATGGGCGTTGAGCGGATGCTGTCCTGGAGCAGAGCGGTTGGCCTCTCCAGAGGGTGCAGGCATGCTTTGCTCGTCTGGCCAGTGCGTGCAGCCGACCAGGCTCCTTCCTGCCTGTGTGCATGGATGGCCGCTGAGAGGCCAGTTCACCCTGGGGCTGGGTGTGGGACTCACGGCCTGACTGGGGCAGAGCGGGCCTTCGGTTCCCAGTGTCAGTGTAGGTGTGTGACTCCTGCTTTCCCCCGCGTCTTCTGTCTTCTTCCTCCCAGAGATGAGTTTAACATCCAGGTCCTCCACGCGTTTGTGGAGCTGCATGAGTTCACCGATCTGAATCTCGTCCAGGCCCTGCGGTGAGTAGTCCTGGGGGAGCACCTGGGGAGGCGTGAGATGCAGGCCTCCGGCCTAGGTCTGCCTGCGTGGCATTTTACTCGGTCCATCTCTTTGGGGATTGTTTTGAATATCTTGAATGGAAGCAGTCTGTAACCCTGTGATTGGAAGTGACAGTCAAGAGGAGTTAAATTACGATTTATCCTGACCATAGACTGGGAAAAACTCTCCTTAGGCCTTGAAGTTTTGGAAACTGGTGAATACTTGAGTTTTACAATCTTCTAATCTGTAGTTTAGAAATCACTGTGCGAAGTCTCTGACCTTGTACCTCTTGAGAAACTGTTGGCGTCTTCGCTGCTGTGGGTGTAAGCATCGCCTCCTGTGCTGTCCTTTAGACAGTTTAATTCTGAACTGTTTCCATCAGCTATGGGTCTTTGACTTAGAGGGATCTGTTTTGTATGCACTGACGAGAAAACCTCCCGTTTTTTGCCACCACATCTTGATTTCTGGAAATTGGAGTTTGTTTAAAATAAGCATTACCTCTGTTTCAGTCTTGTATATTATTCTGAGGAGGAACTTTCTTTTCAATAGGGAAGCCTTATTATTAGTTTCTAGAACAAGGCCCGTTTATGTCGTGTGCCCCTGGCCCAGCGCCTGCCGGACCACAGGCCGTGCCAGCACGCCAGCTCTCTGATCTCGTTTCCAGGCGGGGTCTCCCTGTGTTGCCAGGCCAGCCCCAGCCTTGCCGTCCCCCTGTGTGGGCTTGCGAGAGTGCACCACTGCACTGACCTCTAAGTTGGACTGGGAACTGGGCCTCCCAAGTGGCCCCCTGCCTCAGAGCCTGGTGCCTCAGCAGGGCACACCACGCACTGGGACGAAGTTTTTATTGCCCCAAGTGCTGTGCTTTCACTTAGAGAACAGGGAGTGCATGTAAGTTTGCCTCTGCTCAGGGTTCTGTAACACAAAAGACTGGCGCCCAGCAGGTCTCCCTTTACTCTTGCTATTAAAAATCATCAGCTGCTTAAAAAGCAAGGGGAAACCGACCTCTTCCCAAGTCCAATGCACCGCACCGTCTTCCCTCGTAGGCAGTTCCTGTGGAGCTTCCGGCTCCCCGGAGAGGCCCAGAAGATCGACAGGATGATGGAGGCCTTCGCCCAGCGGTACTGCCAGTGCAACAGCGGGGTGTTCCAGTCCACAGGTGGGGGTGGCCCCAGGCCCTTCTCAGCAGGGCGGCCTCTCGAACACCAGGGCTGGGAGTCATGCCCGGGGATCTTGTAAAAGTGTATTCATTCTGAGGAGAGATCAGGGCGCCCTGCCAGGGTCTTGTGGGGTCGCGGCAGGGGCAGGGCACGTGCTACCCTGGAGTACTTGGCCAGGCCTCAGACGGGAGCCCGCGGCCTTGCCCATCCCCATCGATCTGCTTGGCAGAGCATCACTCTGCCACATTGTAGAGCAGGTGTCCTGTCCTGCTGGGACCTTGTTTAATGGTGTTTGTAATAGTGAAAGGCTGGAAATAATCGAAAAGTCCAGCAAAAAGGTGCTAGGAACATAAATCAGGGTCTATACCTCTGAATTGTGAAAACAAACATGATGAATTAAAAACCATGTATTTATAAATAATTTCTGTGGCCAGGAGGTGGCATAGTGGTTGTGTCGCCGGACTCCCACATGGTCAGTCACGGTTCGAATCCTGGACCTGGTGGCTTAAAAATCATGCCATGCATGCATGTATGCGTGTGTGCCCAAGATCCCAGGAGGCGAATGGAGGAGAAGGGATTGTGGTGTGGCCATCCCCTCTTGGGGTGATTTCTTGCTTTCCCTCTTATTGCCTCTGTCTCTCTCTGACAAGTGTACATGCTTGAAAGCCAAACCTCTTAAAAAAAAAGAAAGAATTTTTGTTGACATGGGACAGTGACAGTAAGACCGGCAGAACACACGTGAGTCTGACTCCCAGTTTGCCATAGCGTGTGTCTGTGAGGTTCATCTGCGGTACGTGCACCACGTGGACATTTCCCAGAGGAGGTAAAGCAGACTCAGTACTGCCACGCAGAGGGGTTACTGACCGCTCGCATTTCCTGCCTCATGCCTCGTGTTCTTTGGATTTTCTACAGGGTGCCTGTTTTCCTTTTTTTTTTTTCTTGGAGAGCTTTTTGCTATAGGGCACGTGCGTTTGCCAGACAGACAGAGAGAGACAGAGATAGGAAGCGAGAAATCACCCCCCGGGGGTGATGGCCACGCCACAATCCTTTCTCCATTCTCCTCTTGGGATCTTGGGCACACACACACACACGCCCGGCCTGAGTTTAAACCACCAGGTCCAGGACTCGAACCGTGGTCAACTACATGGGAGTTCAGCGACACAGCCATTATGCTAACTGCTGGTCCCCTTTTTGGTCTTTGAGTCTCGAATACTTGGTACCTTTCTGCGCCTCACTCCTTTGACAGCAGTGTACCTGGCGCACATCCGTCTGTGTAGACTCATCCCACCCTTTGGCAAGCTTGGCTCCTTAGTTGTCATTTCATCTGGTGTTTCTCATCCTTCCGGCTGGGGTGGTTCGGATCTCCTTGCCTGTAATGGCTCTTCTTTGCTTGTCTCTTGTCTAGACACGTGTTACGTCCTGTCCTTTGCTATCATCATGTTGAACACCAGCCTGCACAACCCCAACGTCAAAGACAAGCCCACCGTGGAGAGGTTCATCGCCATGAATCGGGGCATCAATGACGGGGGGGACCTGCCCGAGGAGCTGCTCCGGGTGAGCTGGTGAGGGGGCTCCCAAAGCTGTAGTCCGCTGGGAATAGGACCCTACATGCAGGAAAGAGGAGAGGTGTGCGACGCAGCGAGCACTCTTTAATCCGTGCAATTTTGTGAGTTTTATTAAGAGATTGCTAGTGAGGCCCAGCTAAGGAACGAGGAACGGGAGAGTGGAAGCCTTTGTGAGTCCGAAGCTGGGGCTCAGCTAGAAGTCCGGGTGCTCCCCTTTCTCCTTGACTAACCCAGGAGATATCTGTCCGTCTTCGTCACCTCGAGCTGCCTGAGGCCAGAGCTGACCTGTTCTGGGTGCCAGGCAGGGCGTCTGGCTTCCTGTAGGCGCTACACCAACGCTGTGGGGCGAAGGAAGACCGAGTTTTTCTTCTTGGGTGGGAGAGAAAGTATTTCTAGAGTCAGAAATATGCAATGTCATCTTTCCCCCAGAATCTGTATGAGAGCATAAAAAATGAACCTTTTAAGATCCCCGAAGATGACGGGAACGACCTCACTCACACTTTCTTCAACCCGGACCGAGAAGGCTGGCTGTTGAAACTCGGTAAGGAAGAGCCCTCGGCCCGGGCCGAGGTGGAGACTTGGGGAGAGAGGCCGAGCTTGCCGTGCGCGTGTGCGCCAGCTCGTGGTGTGAGGGGGTGGGCGGGGGGCGCTGCTCTGGACAGAGTTCCCGGCGAACTCTGTTCTGACAAAGGCACAGCTGCAGCACGGACCACTGGCCATGGATGTCACCTGCGTGTGGGCTCCATTCCTGAACCGACTGGCCGGGCTGTCTCCCAGCAGTTCCCCGGTCCGTCCCCTCCCACCACCCACGGGGGGGGGGGGGGGGGGAAGCTCCCCGGTCCCCCCCCCCCCCCCCCCCCCGGGGGGGGGGGTGCGCAGCTGTGTCCATCTCCCTACTCCCCGCCACACGGCGTGCACCTGGCGCCCTGCCTCCCCAGTGCTCATCACCTCCTCTGCATCCGGCCCCAGGCAGCGTGCATGGCGAGCTAGAGCCCTGGCTGCGGCTCCCCCACAGCGCTCCCCCACTCTCAGCACTGGTCGACCTCCCGCCTCCTTTCCAGTCGAAGCAGCCACACCGATGGTTTTCATTCACAAAACTTGAGAATAGATTCCTCTGTCCTTTGCCAAAAGTGACCTTGTGTTGCTGAGGTGCAGTCACACTTGCCGTGAAGGTGACAGTTAACCAAAGGGAAGAGAAGTGGGGTTTTCAGATGCAATCACATCCACGTAGGGTTATTCTAGGAACTGCTTCCCACAGAGGGTGAGCTCTCGACTCTGGGCATAAGGGCGCCCTGTCCGTGGCCACGGAGAGACTACTGTTCTGTTGTTTTCTTACCTCGGCCTTTGACGAGTGGGGCTCCCCCATCGGTGGGGGATGTTCAATTTGAATGCCCCCCCGCCACCAGCTCAGGCCCTTGTCCCACAGACTGGATAACGGCCACTGCTGCTTGACCAGGGCTGACATGCCCGGAGGGCCCTGCAGGGTCTGTCAGTTCTGACGAGTTCTGACAGCAGTGGGTTCACACCTCCTTTGCAAAGCACACTTCAAGTCCTTGTGCTTACGCATGATGCTCTAATTCATAAATTCCCCTCAACACCATGGACCGGCCAGAACTCGGCCACCCCTTGGCTTGGCCAGCATCGTGTGTCTCTTTTTGCCAGGGGCTCTCTGAAGTGAAGGCTCAATTACGATTATAAGCCCCTGTAGGCAGCGTGCTGCCCCGCACCCTCAGTGCCACGCAGATAGAGTTCAAAGGAGACCGACTAGAGATTTGTGGGTGTGTCCAAGTTTAGGTTTGATCCCCCTCCAGTGAAATTTGTTTAAATGCTAAATGTTACCTTTGACAGCTCAGATACTAAATTAGAATGGTACAAAGATTATCTTGGTTCTTGCATCAGGATTGCATGCAAATTCATGAGGCTTCCGATATTTTTAAAAAGAGAAAAACTGAACGAAACGTGGAGCTCACTGTTAGGTCGTTGCATTACTCTGTGGGCCCCGCCAAGCCCTCTGGCCCTCTGCTCTGCGACTCACTTAGCGCACGGACTCACCCGCCCGTGCACGTGCCGCAGAGGCGGGGCTTCCAGCCGGGTTAGTCGTGTGTATCGTCTGTGTGTAGGACTGTGTTCTTGTGTACACACATATGTACATGTGCATTCGTGGGTGTGTGTATGTGTGTGTGCATTCTCACACACACTTTAAAATGTGACACCATCCAAAGGAAGTTTTAATGTTCCCTGAAGTAATCTTTGCTCCGGGTTCTGGCTACACTAATAACATGCTGGCTTTGGAAAAATAGACTTGGACCTGTTCGGGGCCGGGTTTTCACTGGCACCTCTAAGCTTGCCCTCCCCAGTGGGGACGTGGCGTGCAAGAGGAGCCTCATTCCCATGCCCGGCGGCGGTGGGCGACCACGACCCCTGCCCTGTCGGTTTTCACAGCCAGCTCCCACCCCAGGCAGACAGGAATGTGACTGATACATTGCACGTGACAGTTAAGGAATCGGGTTTAATTTCTTTGTTTTAATTTTCTTTTCTTCCTCATTTGTATGTTTCCATGGTTTTGGCTCTCCTTTTCCTTGCCCCAAACTCCAGGAGGTATGTAACCCCTCAACCCGCTCGCTCGCTCTGCCCAGGCCGTGTCATTGCTGCAGCATTGCCTATTTCGTTACTTTTGGTTATTTTGTTTTATAATTGCTGGTGGTAGTGTCAATGCTGCTTCTAACTTCCCATGCAGTCCCTAGGGAACCGGTCAGGATCAGGGGCTTGGGGTGGTCGTCACGCACTCCCTCTCGAGGCACGTGGTGTGCAGCAGACAGTGGGGCTCACTCCCCCAGTGCAGCCAGGAGGAGACCCGGTGAGATGGGTTGTGGGCACAGAGAAAGTACCCACTGCCTTTCCCCTGGCCAGGCTTGAGCTCTGTATGTTGAGTTCAGTTGACATTTGCAATGAACCTGAGTGAGAGTAACTTCTGACGTTGGGAAGAAGAGGAGGAGGTCTTGACTGAAGCCATGTGCTTCTGACCCAGCAGGACCAAGGAGCAGACCAGGAGCAGAGACTCAGGCGGTACCTAGTGTGTTTTTGCTCTCAGAAAAGGTGTTTCCTAAACTCAAAACCATGCCAAGCGAACTTGGGAACAAAGCCACACCACCCACCCCCACCTGAAGGCCTCACATTTCCCTCCTAGGGAGGATAGCTCTGCACTGTCTTTCACTTGGTTCCCTCCCTCCTCTTTTTAGAGAGTCCCCAGAGAGCCCCAGCCCCTCTCGCTATGCTGCTGGTACCCACGCTCCACTGCAGGGTTTGGGGAAGCAGTCCTATGTTCCCGGGGGCGCCTCAGGTCTGTGCCTCAATGGTACTTACGCAGAGCGACACCTGAAAGAACAGCCCTGGGGCTAGCAGGTGCATGGTGGTTAAGGCACTGGATTCCCAAGTGGCCAGTCGCAGTTTGAGTCCCGGGCCTGGTGGCTTGAAAAGCATGCTGGGCACATGTGTGTGGCTAAAATCCCAAGAGAAGAATGGAAGAGAAGGGATTGCAGCATGGCCATCACTCCGAGGAGTGATTTCCCTCTCTCGGTCTCTAGTGAGCACATGCACCCTGCGGCAAAAACCTTAACAAAAAAAAAAAAAGAGCAGCTCCCCAAAGTGACAGCTATTCCAGTGTGTGGAGAGTCGTCAGGTTGTCCTCGGCTGGAGGGAAGTCAGCTCCTGGCCTGGCTTTCTGAGGAGGTCCCAGGAGGGCCGAGGAGCCTGCATGGGAGGTGGTCCTAGGAGTTCCACAGGGACTGTCCTCGGTGCTCATTGACCTGTCTGCTTTTCCATGTCCGCTTTCTTTTCCACGTGGACGCGTCCCCGAGGCCCCCAGTGATGCCACCGTCCAGGGGAGATAACTAAGCCTTAGCTGCCATGGGGAGTCTTCGTGGCTTTGCTTCTCCCCTGGTTTCCCTTCATCCGTTCCTTCGGCATCTGACCCACCTTGTCCATGATGCCGCATGCCCCGAGGCACCGGCTGGCGGCCCGGATGGAGCGCAGGTCTGCGTGGTTGGCATCCTTTGTGTGCCCGGCCCCATGGGCGAACGGATGGATGCCCAAGGCTCCAGAGCCAGAGTTCGGACTGAGACAGGGAAAGATTCCTTTCAAAGGACAAATTGGCTCCAATTCCGAATATATTTTCTTCTGCTTGTTATTTTGGTTCTGCCAGCTTTCCTGTTTTCCTCATGCATGCCGTATTATAGTTTCGCTCTTAGTTCACACCGTATAGTCCTGGGAGCCAGACGCAAGCGCTCACAGGGAGCACCCCCGTCCCTGCGGGGAGGTCACTCGGCTGGTGGAGTGTGCTCACTCAGGATAGAACCCTCTCCTGACCGAGGGCAGTGTCACTGAGGATCTCGGCGAGTAAGGGGCAGTCACTTCACCACCCCGAGAACTGAGGCCCCACGCAGAGCTGTCGAATGGCCTCAGGATCCTGCAGCCCTCCACTCACCTGCCAGGACCTGTCCTGGACGTTGGCCTTCCTAACTTCATAGCTCACTCCTAGGTTCCATGGGGGCGAGCACACGGGCAGGTCCTGGCAGTCGGGACCAGTACTCGTAAACCACCCCCTTTGCTCAGCTGTACCTCGGCGGGATGAGGTCCAGGGGGAGCATGACAGGCTCATGGGAGACTTGGCCTCTGCAGGTTAGGCCTTAGAGCCGAAGGGCAGAGCACAGGCATGGGGCGTTTCTAGAACACCACGCATGTCCTACCACACGCAGGCCCTAGGGTGGTTTCTGTGGCTTATGTGACCCAAGGGAAACGGAGGAAGAGGAGGGCTGTGGTCCTGACTTGGGAGCAGGGCTTGGCCTTGTTCAGATCGGTGTGCAGTTAAATCTCCTCTTCCTTAGCACCCATGATGGCACAACTCCGTCACCCCACCGATCTTTAACCGAGAACTATGAAAGGGCTCGGAAGGCCTTCTTGTGCTCCCAGCCTCCGGCAGTGCTCCCCGGGCCCAGGCCTCCTCCTTCGCTAGTCCTGGCAAGCCTTGGAAAGGCTCAAAAGTCTCTTAGCTGACCTCTCCCTACGAGTAGACTCTTCCTGAGGCCCCTGGGAGCTTCTTGGTTCAGAATGCTAGCCCCCACATAGAGCCAGTGTGGAAAGGTGGGCTAGAGGACCCAGCCACGGGGCTCGAGTCCGTGTCCTGGAAGACTGCGGGTCTGATGGTGAAGCGGTCACGGCATTGCGCTTGCCATTCTCTCCTCTGGCACACCGCCTCTGGCGGGCTGGTCGTCAGGGCCAGTGTAGTCTGCTCGGGAAGCCGGCCCTCTCTGCCTCGCTGTCTTAGCCGACTGTCACCACCCGCTCCACGCTGACGCTTCTCCAGCCAGGCCCATCTGCATCGCGTGTCCTCGTTGCCCTGGTCCCCTCCCAGCCATGTCCTCATCCTGCTGTCCCAACCTCATCTCCGGGTGCCACTCAACACGCTTGCTATGCTCGTACCCATAGACTTTCACTTCGTGGAAGATGCTTTTGTTTGGCTGTCTTGTTACCGGTGTGAAACCTGCCGTGGTCTAACCGTGCTGACACCCTGCCCCGCCTCCCCTCCCCGCCCTCTCTGAGGAGCCTGGGCCCGCTGGTGGTCTGCTGTCGAACGAGCCCCTCTGTTTGCTCTGCAGGTGGCAGGGTAAAGACTTGGAAAAGACGCTGGTTCATTCTGACTGACAACTGCCTTTACTACTTTGAATATACCACGGTGAGCACCCACTGGCCAGCCTCGGGACTAGCCACGGGCCAGGCCTCTTTCTAAATGACTCAAATCAAACTTAGTTGGAGGGGCAGTGGGGACACCAGCAGATGTGTCCTATACCTTGGGGGTCAGAGGACAGTGTAAGTGACTGTAAGGATGAAGGTGAAGCTGAGTGGGGAGCCCTAGAGAGGACGAGCCTTGCCTGCCCGGAGGCCGGGGGCTCAGAGCAGGTACCCAGCCCTGCCGGGGGCCCTAGACCTGGCCAGGGGAGACAGGGCACAAACCGCCAAGCACAACCTTAGAAATGGGCCGGGAGCCGGACTGGAAGGAGCGGACTTGGACCAGCGCCAGCCGGCTGTCACAGAGGGGAGGAAAGCAGAGCAGCAGAGCACCACCTGGGCGGTGCAGGTTTTCTAGAGAGCAGAATGTTGAAGGGTTTGGTTTAAGAGAGGCAGTCCAAAAGAGGGGAGGAAGGGAACTTGAGATTCTCTGGAGCTCTAAGAGACTGAGGTTTCTTAAACCCTGGAAGCTTTGTAGGTACCGGCTCGGGAGAAGGCCCACAGCACACGTGAGTCCCGCCACACGGCCCTTTCTAGTTATAGGCTGCAAGGGCAGAGTAACAGAACCTTCCGCGTCCTAAGCAGGGCACCAGGGAAGCCTGGCAGGTCAATGGCTGGTACTCAGATTGCAGCCGCATGTTGACAACAGGAGCCCTTTTGTCCAGCCGCCCTTGCAGTCGCCTGGACGGCCGGTGATTACACGTGGCGGCCTCGGACTTGGGTCTTGAAAAGCCAGGGTGATCGAGTTGGGAATGCTTTGCTTTTGCTCTCAGGTCTTCGCCGAGTAAAAGTCACTGACCCCGTAGAGAGAGTTGAGGCTTAGGAAGACATGGAGCCAATAGTACCCAAGGACTTGCCGTTTGCTCTTCCTAGCAGGAACTTGACACCTGTGGACCATAGTCCTCCCGGCCCGCTAACCGCGGTCCTGCTGCTCCTGTGAGTCCAGATCTCCTGCACTCCAACACGAGTGGGGGCATCTGGTATTCTCTCTGTGCTTGACTTCATAGTGTCCTCAGGTTAATCCCTGAGAAGCAAACGACAGGCCTTATTTCGCACATTTAAGGTGATGGGTGCTAACTAGCTCCACCCAGTCACTGCGCACTGCGTGTAGTGTCGCTCTTACCTCTTACATGTACGTGAGAATAATTTGAAAATCAGACATAACTTAAAACTGTAAAGTAAAAGGTAAATACTCTATTTCCTCCCTACAAATAAATAAGTAAAAATACTCGCGTACAGTCAGAATCTGGCCATGGCCAAGTGCAGCTCTCATAGAGGCCAGGACGTAGGGGCCTGCCTTGGCCCCTCGCTGCCCTGAGAGGTGGATGTGGCCCTCCTGCGTGCCCATGCGGTCCCATCACATGGCAGTGAGCAGGTGCAGCCTTCCTGGCGGCGTCGGGCATCAGCTGGGTCGCCGCTCTAACAGCATGCTGGGTATTATGTCAGGGAGTTCTGACAGGGCTTTGTGTGTGACCGGGACAGTGTTGGGCATCAGCCGGGTCGCCGCTCTGACGGCATGCTGGTTATTATGTCAGGGAGTTCTGACAGGGCTTTGTGTGTGACCGGGGACGAATTCACGCCACAGAGTTCTGGAAGTGTGTTTGCTTTTGTGTTCCTAACACTTTTTCTTTCTTTTAGAGAGAATTTTGCCATAGAGCACACTCACCAGAGAGACAGAAAGCAAGAAATCAGCCCCCTGGGGCACTGGCCATGCTGCAGTCCCTTCTCCTCCATTCTCCTCTTGGATTTGGGATGTACACACACTCCTCTCTGTTTTGTGGTGTACACACACACACACACACACACACACACACACACACACACACATAACACACGCCCGGCCTGAATTTCAAGCTGCCAGGTCAGGGACTTGAACTGCGATTGGCCATGTGGGAGTCCAGCAACATAACCATTATGCCATCTGTGGTCCCACCTAACATCTTTTCAGTTGAGAGTAATACACTTCACATATGCAAAGTAATAAAAAGGAAGATTCTTCGTGTTTCATCTCCTAAAGCTCCATCGTGAGCAGCTGGGTCAGTATCTTTCCTAGTCTAGCTCTGCATTTTGCCTCTTCCCCTTAAACATAGCCAGCCATGCCAATGACAACGCTAACATCTTACTTGGGTCTCCCCGTTCTCTGGGTTAAAACGAAGCACACACAGGAATCTGCATCTGGCGCTGAGTATGGGCACCGCCTGCAGCGATGCAGAGAGTCCTGTCAGCTCTCCAGGGCACTGGTCGTGGTGGCCTCCCCGCCTCGACGCACCAGGTGCCCGCCACGCGCCAGCCATGGAGCCCAGAGCCCAGGGCAGTTCTTAGGAAGCAGTCAGGGAGTCGTCAGGCCAATGGTATGTGATGGCCAGCTGGTGGCATGGAGGGAATGGTGGCCAGATCTTACATAGCCGACTCTGCAGTTGGAGTGTGGAACCCAGTGGCTTGAAAATCACACCAGGTTGGGGCTGGCAAGTAGCCTGGTGGTTAAGGTGCTGAACTCCCACATGGACAACCATGGTTCAAGTCTCAGACCCAGCAACTTGGAACTCATACTAGGTGTGTGTCTGTACCCAAAACCTCAGAAAGAGAATTGAGAAGGGATTGTGATATGGCCATTCCCCATAGGGGGTAATTTCTGACTTTCTCTCTCAGTCTCTCTCTGGCAAATGCACATGACCTATGGCAAAACCTTTAAAAAAAAAAATCACACCAGGTGTGTGTGCATACGTGCCCCAAATCCCAAGAAGAGTGGAGTAGAAGGGATTGTGGCATGGCCATCCCCCTTGGGGGGATAATTTCTCACTTTCCATCTTTGTCTCTCTCTCTCTTTCTCTCCCCCCAGTGGGTGCATGTGCCCTATAGCCAAAAAAAAAAAGAATAAATAAATAAAAATAATAAGATAGTAGATTGAAACTTCTACACAGAACCAACAGAACAAGAAACCGTTAAAAACAAGCAGGGGGGACCAGCAGTTAGCGTAATGGCTATGTCGCTGGACTCCCACGTGGTCGACCGTGGTTCGCGTCCCGGACCCGGTTGCTTAAAACTCACACTGGGCGCGTGTGCGTGTGTGCCCAAGATCCCGAGAGGAGAATGGAGGAGAAAGGATTGCGGCGTGGCCATCCCCCCCGGGGGGTGATTTCTCGCTTTTTGTCTGTCTGTCTGTCTGGCGAGTGCATGTGCCCTATGGCAAAAACCTCTCAAAAAAAAAAAAAAAAAAAAAAAAAAACAAGCAGGGGAGGTAGCAGCCCAGTAAGCAGCGAGTACAGGGCTGCAGTGTAGTCTCAGCTCATGGCCAGCAGTCAGCAGCCATGGCAGGGGAACAGAGTTGGATTGCTTTTTACGCTCAGAATGAGAGTGGTACAGCTGCCGGAAAGTGAAGAAACAAGCCTCGCTCCCTGTGGCATCAGGTAGGTTCGGGATTGCCTACTCAGCCGTGAGAGCTGGAGGGCCCCGTGGGCATCGTCCCATCCTGCACAGATGAGAGGGCCTTACCGTCGGACATGCACAGCCCGGAGAGTGGGCTCTGAGATGGCGTGCCCCGTCCACTCACCCCTCTCTGTGCGGCTGTACAAAGTGCTAGAGCGCAGGATGCCGGGCTCTGCACCCGAGGTCAAGATCCTGGACAGCAGATGCCGAGCGGAGTCAGGAGGAGAATCAGCGGCCCTTACAGAGTCACCACCCCAGCTGGTAACTCCCTCCCTGGCACGGGGAGCTGCAGCGTTAAGAGCCGGGAGAACCCAAATCCAACCTGGGTAATATATAGTGTAACTATGTAATGGTAGAGGTATAACCCAGAGTAAATAAGCTCAGTCTTTCAGTGGAACAAGTTACCTAAAAATGTACCCACTGCTCCAGAGGAAAGGCTTGAGTTACTCAGAGATTGTATCTGAAAAAGACAAGAGGTAGAATAACTCGAGGGCCAGCTGTGGCACATGATTTAGGCAGCTGAGTCCCACTTGGCCAATGGCACAGTTCCAGTGGCTTGAAAAGCACAACTCCCAAGAGCAGAAGGGGTTACAGTGTGGCTATTCCCACCGGGGTGCTTTCTCACTGTCCCTCTGTCTCTGATGAGCACATATGCCCTATAGCAAAAATAATTATAATTAGAGAAAAACAAACACATATGGGGGGCAGAAGATAGTTCTGATATCAGATTAATTGCTACCTACAAAATCAAAGACGTGATATGATGGGAAGTGAGATTATTTCCCTGAAAAGGAGGAAAAAAGCCCGAATCTGAATCAGAAGAGCACGCTGCACCTCTGGAAACGTGACTCTAGGAAGCGTGGCCCTAGGGCTCAGCCCGTCAGACTGCTGAACTGGTGCAGACTTCGGCCTTCCAGGTGGAACAAGTGCATCAGTCCCTGCAGCTTTCAGAGCCAGAGTTAATGGATCTAGGTCTGCAAAGTTTTGAAGAGAAAAATGACCCCAGAGCCTTTCTCCCGCACGTTGTCACCTAAGTAAAGTACAGTCTTGGAAAAACATACTTCGCAGTGAAATCCAGCCAGGAAGAGGGTAAACCAAAAGAAAGGCCTCTGGAGGTGGGCAGCTGGTGCTGAACGTTCGACTGACTTCCCAACACACAGAATTCCTCAAGGACAGAGCGACCAGTGTACTGCCGTAGGGAGCAGCTGCGGCAGTGTGCTCGGCTGTGGAAGCGTGCTCCAGGGCAGAGCTGGCGCTAAAGTACGCTGGGTTATGGAGTGGCTGCAGCAGTGTGCTCGGGTGTGGAAGCGTGCTCCAGGGCAGAGCTGGTGCTATGCTTGGTTATGGAGCGGCTGCGGCAGTGTGCTTGGGTATGGAAGCGTGCTCCAGGGCGGAGCTGGTGCTATGCTTGGTTATGGAGCGGCTGCGGCAGTGTACTCGGGTGTGGAAGTGTGCTCCAGGGCGGAGCCAGTACTAAGGTATGCTCAGTTATGCTCAGTTACGGAGCGGCTGCGGCAGTGT